AATGGTCAAAATTTCCGGAGCCCTCCACTACGGCGTCTCTCATAATCATATGGTAGTTTTGGAACGTTGAACCCCACATATCAATCATGTTGGGCTTACCAGGTACGCCGACTACACTAATGTTTCAATGGTAACTCATTGTGTGACACAGTATGAGCGCGAGTGCAGAAGTCTCATTTATCGGAACGAAGTACACTCTACGGTTTGATAATACAAATATCATACGTACCTTTCGTTCGCGTATTCTTCCGAGATCGAGAACTGCGCTTGTGTATGGCTAACTGTGTTGCAAGAATACAAATGTAATGGTTGTTAGGCTGCTATAAGAACGGAGCCAGGGCTGTGCCCAATATTCATGGTAATCATAACTGGCATCTGCATCATTGAAATACAAGTGCAGTGTTTTTTTTGTCATAAAATTATATACACAGCCCTACAGCTATGGTTGACGTTGCATAAAGTTTTTTTTTTTTTTTCACAAAGAAGTTTCTATAGACTTGGCGTGGCTCTTTGGTAGAAAACTCGACCGCTGTTCCGAATGCATGCATGGGTTCCATTCCTACTGGGATCGTAATTTTATTTCTTTGCGTTCATGGAAACGGGTCCTCACTGCCGGTCTTTCTCAATGCTCTCGCATCTAAATTACCAATGTCTATTTCTCATAATTCCTGGGTTGATATAAACTGTCAACCATTTGTGGCGCTTATACTGCAGCCTTCGTGGTATACGGGTACAAGGCACGCGTGTCAGGAGCAAAGGGCTTCACGATTTACGCGAGAGAATTTTCACGTTGTTCATGCCGTGACCATGTGGCCATATTTTTTAAATCCTCTTACCCTTTTTTGCCAATTTTGGTCTACGCCATGTTAAGGAAGTGATCACGAAAGCACTCAGACGTGTGCGGCTAGATAGACAAACAGACATACAGAATGCATGGGTTCCATTCCATGGGTTCCAGAAACGATAGGAGTCCCTTAGGTTTTTTAAAAAAAATGGGCCACATTAAGAAAAAAGTTTATGCCGGATGGAAAAAAAAAAAACGAGAGAAGTCGCAGTGATACAAAGCAGGCTATCCGAATTTTCTTGGCATGCCTAGTGTGAAGCTACGCTATTCTTGTGTGCATTTTATATCAGAGAACCAAGTGATAATATAAAACTGGATACTTATTCTGGAAAATACCAATCGCTTCACAGTCCGCCAGAGTGAAGTATCAGACTCTGTAGCGTATAGTGTGTGGACCCTTATTGCATACGATTTGGAACGAGAAGAAAGAACAAACGAATTAACTGAAGCTGTGTTGCTATACTTGTGCTCCATCTGTCGATGTAGCGCTTGTTTCTAACCTTTGCGATTCAGTTAATTTACCGCCGCACAATACTCTGCCTAAACGGTCTATACATCTCGGCAAAAAAAAAAACGCATATCTGTATCGACAGATCACTGCTAACCAGGCCGTCTGGTATCGACCGCTGCGCTCTCTATGTATTCAGTTCTATGCGGAACTGCCGTTTGCTTGAAACACTTCAGTCTTCACATATAAATCACATACACGTTTACCAACGGAATGTAGCTTTCTTGTCTCTACTTCTATACCATATAGATCGCACGCACGTGATCTGTATGGCACTGACTGGCTCATTGTGTGTTCATGTCTTGTAGTGCAAGCATTGCGACTGAGATCCATGACTACAGATCTATAGCGGAGGATAGCAGGACGACAGGCGAAACTAATTCGCAAGAGTAGCACTACTATCGACTAACTTGCAACAAATGCACGCACGTGCAGCTCTTGTGGAAAGGGAGAAGAAAGTAATTAGGGAAGATCGGGGTAGAGATTATGCCTACGCGTGAGTGCGTGTCTAGGCAGTCCATGCAAGATTCTGGTGAAAAAAAAAAGTGCAGCTTGTCATTGCCAAAATGTTTGTGCATGTCTCGCGCGCTTGTTCGTCTCTCTTGCCTCTAGTGCCATCGGAAGTGACGTGCGTACTACGACAGTATGCGCTCAGCTCGAGGGTGCTGGTTCGATCCCTGGTCGTTTCTGTGCGAGGCGAAATGCAAAGAACACCCGTGAGTTTGGACATGCCAAGCTCGTGCTTTCAAGGACCCCAGGTGGTCAAAATAAACCCGCGGAGGGTCCCGCTTTAGCGCGCATCGTAATCTTATCAAGGTTTCGTTGCGTTAAAGCACGAAAATTATGATTAATACAACTCTACTATCAGTGTTGTGCGAGGGGTAATATCCATCAAGTGATAACGCGAGTGTATTTTCATTTCTTTTTTTTTTCTCGTATGTCCTTTTCTTCATGAAATCGCACTGATGCAACATTGAAATTGAAGCGTTTCTTAGAGAAAGGGCACATGCTTCAAGGGGAAGGGGGGAGGGGAAGGTTTTTCATTAAAACCGCGTCGTCCTCGTGAATATGAACTTTTCGTGAAACGGAAGCTTTCAAACAAGTGAAGATGATTGAGAATAGCAAATGTGGCCCCTTTCACGAGCGAAACCAGCCTGCTGTACGCCGTCTTGAATGAATCATGAGCGGCGCTAGACAGGCTAACACGGAGAACGCGTTTGGGCCAACGTATACCCGTTTATTAGCCATTCCTCGCGCGCGCATGAATTCGCTTAACTGCCTCAACCTTTTTTTTTTCTTCTTCCAGGGCACGACGTGTTCCTTTTCACCCAATTCCATTCGTTTCCTTCCCCGCTCGTCTTATTACTGGTCCCTCCATGGAGTCGTTTCCAGCGCTAAGCTACGACTAACTAAGTGCCCGAACATCAAACATCCTATCTGGGCTCTTCGCAGAACTTGGTCGGTCCTGTCGTTCCGGAGATTCTTCTTTTCCCCTGGCGTTAATGTGAGCGTCCATTCTCCGGGCTGCACTTCTGCCAGCACTGGTACAGGGGCGATTTAAATAGATCCCTTATTCATATGCATATGTACGAAAACCGGACTATATATCTTCCACGCCACCACGATTCGGTGAGCAAATGACGGAGAACTCGATGAACCTGCGAACATTTTCTTTCTTTTTTCACTGGTGAATGAGTGGACTAAGGTAGCGCTCGCCGCAAACTTGAGGTACGTTAAGGTCACGTTGCCGCGCCGTGAGTCGAGTCTTCGTGCGCGTGCATTGATTGCTCGCACGTTGGTCACGTGGTGTCGCTTTGAAGAGTGCATGCACTCCTGTCTTGTCCGTGTACAGACTGGTGGTGCATTTGCTGGCTAATTAATCGCAAACTGTCCTCTTGCTCATCATCCTACAACTCTGTTCTAGTTTATTTGTGTATACTTACGTGTGCGTGTGTGTGTACACTTGTGCGCATATTTTCCTGCATGTGAGTGTTGTGTGAGTGCGTGCATGTGCGTGTGTGCGCCATGCGCATGTGCGCGTACGCGCGTATGTGTGTGCTTGTGTGTGTACACGTGAGCGTGAATGCATGTTCTGACGTGTCTGTGCTTGTACATGTGTGTATTTACTTGCATGCGTGAGTGGGTTTGGGATAAAATGTCGCACCAGTGTTCATTAGCGCTAGCCCTGTCCACTGTCTTTTCATTCTACTTGCTTGCTCAGAACACATCATGTCGACTGCATACTACAGCAAACTCGTTTAGCAGCGAGTCTTACTCAACTAAGATCTAACCAGTGCGCATTGTCTCCCAGCAAATATCAAGCACGAATGAGTGGTCGGATTCTAGTCATCATGAATACTGACTCACTCAGGCTATAGTTTCGTGTGGAGACGGTACACGCAGGTTAGACCATGGTTATCATGCCGTTATATCACGGTAAGATGCATTATCAGGGCGTTATCAATTACGCTATGACGATTTTGTGAGACGTGTGTTTCTTTCATTTTTTTATTCATACCCTACTGCATGCGCCTTCAGCTGTTGTGTTGCGTGCTCGATATGTTTAAAAGATAAGGAGTAGCTGGCGCCACCTTTGTGCGCCAACATCTCCTTCAGATCATATGAACAAAGAAAGACTGGTCAGTGTTACCTTGAATAAAATAGCTACAACTCCGAGAGACGGCGACGAGGCGTTATTATTAGCGCTGGCCTTCAATTAATACCCAGGTGATAAAAGGAGACACTCCGTGTATGGAGAAGGTGCAGTAGATGTGATCGATTCCTGTACTCAGACGGCTATCGAGCGACTCTTCGCTTTTGTGTAACAATCATACTGCGTCAGCAATTGAGAGCAAAAAAAAAAAATCAGTCTCGAGCTTCTGCACGTCGAGGAAGGCGCTCTTGCGTCATCGTTCCTGATTTACGTGGGTAGGTATAATATACACGCGCGTTTGGATCTCGGGAATTTCGAATGACACGAACGTACTCGCGAACAGCTCTCTCAGTGGCTACCACGGGCTAGACCGAACAAAGTCTGACGTATAAGTACTCTCGAACCCGAAGGCATATCTGCAAATGAAGATACGCAGTTTTAACAAACAAAAACAACTGATTTATTAACTAACATCCAGGTGTTAAGCGTACAGTTTACTTCTAGTGCATGGTAATATTCATATTTTGGGGGCTTCAGTCGCACTTACGGCATTATTTATTGTTGTGTTTCGGCTTTGTTTCTGTCGAAAATAGTAGATAGTTGCGAACTTTGGCAAGCGACTTGAATTGTGGGCCGTAGAAGTGCCAAACGTTCGCTGAACTTCGTGGCTTCGCTGAACAAAGTACCGCAAGCCATTCGGAGCCAAACGTAGCCGAATGAATGAAACATAGACAAGTCAATGCACTGCCCAGCCATGCGTTGGATCTCCTAGGCAGTATAGCCATAATTCCCTTCGCTGTATTATTATTTTAAAAAACGCCGTGGTTGTAGATACTTAGGTGCTCGGTCAATGACGCAACAGGAGTGCAACAGACAGCCCAAATGCTGTATATTTACTCTTCTATTGCTGACTGCAAGCCTTACTTTCTTCTACGGCGAGTACTTACCAACTACCTCAATTTTGCGTAATTCTAACATTTTGCTCTCCTTCGCAGGTGACTCCGCCACTCTACGCTGTGTTAGCGTAGCAAAGCCCTCTTTAGGGTTGTCGATTGACGTTTGGAGGAAGAGCAAAATAATGCCACTTGTAAATAGCTATATATCACCCTAAGTACTCACAGCGCTTATTTATTTACGCAAACCACATATAAATGTTCTCTTCTCAGTCCAAACATTAGATAACCAAGTTAAAAGCAATACATTGTGTATTGTTCACTCAAGAATCTTACCGACAGCCATTGCAAACTCCATCACGGCAAAAAAAAGAAATGTTGAAACGGCATCAATACCATTCAAAAGTTTATTTTTATGTCTGTTTTTTTTTTTTCATTTTATTAAATAGTCAGCTGTCCAGTTTCCATGTCCCGGGAAACAGTACCAGCGCTTGCTTGGTGTGTTAGTCTTCTGGTGAACACGGAGATAAACAATGCACTTCAACTTGAAGCTCCCGGAAAAAGATAGTCCTCGTTGTGTACGGATAAACATTATTTAACCGCTGTAATCTTGCTCTTCAGGAATCACTCCTGTGTCTTCTTTTTCTTGCATTCGGGTTCTGAATCATCTTTGAGGAGCTTTTTGCGGAACAGTTCGCGTATCTTGAGTGATGCATTTGGCTTCAGATGAATGCGGAAATTTTTGCAGCTCATGTCCGTTATGCAAATCGCTTCGGGTGGCTTCGATGGACCTGCAGTAGGCACGAAGTTATCCTGGGTCACTTGCGTCTGCTTGCTGCGGCTTTCGCTAGGAACGTCCGGCTTCCCTTGAAGGATGTGATCTTTGGTTGGCACGCTACGACTGCCAAGAAGAACGCGGCGAATGATGAAACGCGGACACAAGAAGACGTGCTCTTGGTTTCGCAGACGCCGATGAACTTCTTGCACGTCCGACGCGTCCGTTGAGTTTGAGAACAAATAGCTGGCTTCCCCGGCGTCCCCAATCGTGCCACCATGCGTTTGCCAGAGCAGTTTGTACTTATCTTTGACGGTGTCCGAAAACCAAGCCACGGAGCCGTCAAACACACCCATGTTCGCCGCTGCTGTCGCAAGGCTGGACCAGCTCGCTCTAAGCCAGAAGGCGAACAGACGACAAACAGACGACAAGAAAACATCGAAGGGTAGACAAAACGTCGACAGGCGATTTTAACGCGTTAAACTTCGAGTAACTGAAAATATAAATTTAGTAAGCCGCTAATTCTTAGGCAATGTATTAACAAACTTCAGTTGCAGACGTAAAGGCATTTTGTACGGCGGCGCTGTCATCAGTAGCGATGTCTCACTTACTTTATAGTGTTTAGAACGTACTCACTAGTGTGCCAACCGTGGCCGTCGTAGAGGCGCGGGACATGAGTGTCTTCCACCGTTAGCCACCAGATGGCGACAGCTGCAGGCAGTGTGCTAAGCTGAGCCAATGGCCGAGTGGCCAGAGCCAGAGTGGAGTGGGGTCGGCGGCGTCTCAACCACGGTCACGGCCGTCTTTCTGCCAACGCGTGCGTGCGACAGGCCCCGATGGGCTCTCCCAGTTGACTTAGAACTGTTGAACGCTGGTTGGGAGGTGACGCGTAATCAAAGCAATTTTTTTTCGTTGCACTTTTACAAACGTAAGTGCACCGCGTTATCGTCAATACGGTACACAATATCGAGTGTTTGATAAAAAATTACCAATAATTAAATAAATAAGCTTGGTTTCCGAGGAAAAAAGTAAACTCTAATGAAGTTCAACAAAATTCAACAGTGAAACACGTGGCATTTGGTTGATTTAATTATGCCACAACATTTACTTATTATAAGCCAAATTTCCTATTCCTCAAAGGTAAGATGTGTTTTTCGCATGAACTTATATTCTCCAATGACGTTGATGCTAGCAGAACCTATTAAACGTAAATAGTTTAGTTTAATAACTAATATGGTCCGAGTGATAGAGCATATCAATTTTTTTTCATTTATGACGATTTTGGACACATTTATAGAAACACCCGGCACCGATGTGGATATTTTCGAGTGGTGTAAGAAAAATAATGAATAATTAACAGCAATAAAGAGATTGTTTTGTAGTAATGCCGGTGTCAGTGACGCTGGTTTAAGTGGGAAATCATCTTGGTCGTGGAAATAAATCAAGAATTGACAATAAAACGAAGGATACAAATTTTTAGTTATGAGTTTATCACGGGGAATTTCACTGATGACACCATCGACTGTTTTTGGGAAGGAGCGATAAATGAACCATTCACTAAAATGTTTCTCACTAACGACAGCTGCCTCAGTTAGTCTTCGATCCTTTCGCTTTGTTTTTATTCTACTCGGCTCAGCTTTCTGGGTCTGCAGGGTCGCTGAATATTAAGATGCGCTCTTTGTTAGAGCAGTAACAACTCACACAATATGAAAAAAAGAAAAAAGAAGACGGGTGCTCTTCTTGCGCCTTCTTTTCTGCGATGGCACCCGGTTTCGTGAAGGGACACAAGCGTGAACAACGCGCACAGAAAAGAAACGCGGCAAAGACATGCGGAGGCATGCGCTATGTGCGCAAGAGGAGAAATGCTCTTCAACTACACTACAACTGGCTGGGTTAACGAACGCGCATCCGAAGTGCATCCAAAGCGAAGCGACGCGCATGACTCGGTGCGCTCCACTGCTCGGATAGCACGCTTCCTGAGGGTGCCGCCGTCTGGTGGCCTCCGGAAGAAGGCATCATCGCTCGGCGGTCGGCACACTAGTAAGTATATTCTAGGCGCTATACTGACACAGTGGGCACCAAAGATAGATGCTGCTGCTGGGTTTTTTTTTTTTTTTTTTTTTTTAAGGTAAGAACACATTTGAGATCTGAATGTTTGTGATCCAATCGCTCATTACGTTGCGCAATCCCAAATTCGGGATATTAGATATTTTCCTTGCATCTTCGAAACCCTTTGTGAAAAATCAGCGGCTATTAGAAAACACGTATACTTTTTTTTAATGCCGTGAATATTGGCAGAAGCGTAACCACTCTACACCAACCTCACTGAATCGCCGGCAGACCAACATTTGAAAGAAATCCCCCGTGTTTTAATAATGTCGACCACCTTGCCAACAGCTGCACAGCGTAGTTGTCTTAGATATTTCCGGAAAACACCAACTTCGGCTCATTTGGGGCAAATGCCAGCATATTTTGATTGTACGGGTATGGAACGCTACGTATAAGTGACATAATTACACAAAGGGCAGTCACAATGCAGTACACACGAACAATGCTGCTCCCCGGCACAAAAAAAGGAAAGAAATATATATTTCAGGTTAAAATACACCCAACCGGGTTTTAGCTTGTTCCAGCGGGAAAACAGCGGTTTTTCGATGGGATCAAAGCAAGACCACTAGGAACTGGTTTTGTTGGTACTTCTGTGTGTTTCGGGTATGTTTCGTCTTAACTCACGCAGCGTTGCATTACACACAACACTGCGCGCCGATAGTTAAACCAATTTTATTCAATCAAGATTTCCGGAAATCGAAGCCATTGTCTAGCGCTTGAGTTTTACCGATATACAAACGCATATGCTGTACACTACGCCACTACTCAGCGAGGAGTTCGAACGCAAACACACCATTTTCACGAGCAAACACTAGCTAGAGATATTTGTGAGCCTGATTTCGAGCATGTACGGTGACAAAACTCAGCATGCTCAAAAAGCAAAAAAAAAAAAAAAAAGATTTGCACTGAATGTGCAACCCCAACATCTGTACGTTATTGTTGGCTCATAGGTAGGAAGAATTTATTGTAAGGCTCAGAACTCTGTCTGAGGTAGTACGTTCTGGGCTGCTACCTGAAAAGGGAGACAGCGAAGTGATAAAGCATGAAGATTCTTCGTCAAAACAAGGCGCTGAGCAGTGCTCCTAATTGCAGAAGTTTCGTCTTTGACATTCCTCAGGATCTCCTCCTCTCCGTCAAAACAATACGGTCGTATCTCGCACATCTATGAGAAAAAAAAAACTGAATGGATACTCGCAAGGGTGCCTGCGGAACATTTTTGGGGAAGAATGCATTCGTGGTGGGAGGAGGGGGGGGGGGGGAGACATTCAGCACGGGCAGCTTTTCTTTCGCTGTTTTGAAATTACCGGCAAGATTAGAGAGAATTGCGCAACGTGCAAATTTGGCTAGTACTCCTGAAGGTTGTTTCACGATATCCGAAATTCCAGGAGCGGGATGGGGCAGCCCCACCCATTGCACCCTTCTCCTGACGCCCATTGTGTATGCCTCCTCACCATAAGAAACATTGAGCGTAATATGTTACCTCCCCCGACAGATTCAACTGTACACATGTAACTAACAGCCGGGCGGCTGGTATTTTTAGCCTGTTATAAAATAGACTCAGCTTTCAGGTTCACGTAATTTAAACAAATGACCGTTAATGCCTCGTAAGCGCATGTTATGCAAACTCCGCTGTTCACGGTATACTGTAGAACACTGACCATTTGGCAAAGCTGGAAGTTAATTCGCGCAGTGCGTGTTGTATGTACGCCATGAATGGCGTAAGAACTGCCGGTAACGACTATGACTGAGCCTTGCTTTTGCGAGAACACCGTGCCGAAATTTATTAACCCGAGCTCACGACCGATACAGAGAGGGCGAAATTCATGAGCTTGAAGTAAAATTCACTCCATGAAACTCAATTTCAATATGTAAGTGGTACATCAGCTTATTGGATTGTACGACGTAGACACTCGGGGTATGTTTATATTTTCTTTTTTGTGCTGCAAAGCTGTTACAATGCTTGATATTGCCGCAGAGACTGCCTTCTACCAGGAGAACCAGCGCGACGCTATGCAAGCGTCTACAACTACCAGGAGAACCAGCGAGACGCTATGCAAGCGTCTACAACGTAGCGCACCTGCGCGCGCTGTAGCAACGCGAGTCATTGCTCCTCGTGCTTGGGCTCGCGACGGTGGCCTGATCGACGGGTTGTGGAAAAAGGTGTTCGAGAGAGACGCTAGTGTGGAACGCTTTAGCGGACTCAGTTATTTACCTATTTTTCTGGGCACAAGTTCGCCCTTTAATAAAGCTA